ACAGTGTAAACAGAATTCCTGAAAATCTTCACACTGGACGAGTTTTACAAATGTTTTTAGTAACCTAATGCAGTTTGTGTGTGGACAAAAGGCCAAAATGCATATAAAAGTGTAAGAAATAGAAATGTTTTAAAAAATACCTGTGGACGGGGCCTTACACATCAAATATAAGAACAGCTGCTGGGTTGACAAAAAATGTCCAAACTTGTATTAAAATGGTTACCTGTTTCAGCTTCCACAATCACTGCTCTTTCTGGTGGACAGATAGAGCATTGCAACTCGTTTCCATACATGGTGCATAGGGGCATTATTAAGCTGCAACACATTTACAAAGTCATTAAAGGGTGATCCAGGGGCCAGTGGCTATTTTAGATGGCTAATATTGTATGTGTAGAATGAGATTTAAATAATTTGTTTGTTTTTTTGTTTTGTTTTTAATTGCAGAAAAGAGGGAAGGAAAGGATTTGAAAGTAATATTGTTGCTAACTTTACTGTTGTGGTTTGAGGAATGCTTAAAGTGGTTTAACATCCTGTCAAAAACTCATCAGGGGTTTGCAGCTTACAAGAAAGCTACTGCAGCAACTGGTAAGCCTATACTACCCCATTCTGAATTATGCATACTGCCTCAGATAACACATTATTCATGACCAATGCTGCATTGTACAGGTGGAGGTGACCATTAAGCACATTTGCTGAAGTGGTTCAGGGAGTGCTTGGAGAAAGTAATGCTTCAAATAGTGGGGCAATGCTTCCTCAGGGGCTGGTTGACGGGCTCTTGAATTCTTGCCAAGGTAAGGCAATATGAATGAGTTATTTTTTATTTGGTTGCTTACACACAAATTTCGAAATTGATATCTTTCCTATCTTTATTTCAAGGAAAAACACTCTTGGCCTTTTGTTCCACCCCTTGCAGAATGGGCCCAGGTGATATGGATGACATGGCATTGCGAAAAGAAGGACTGTGAATAAGCATTAAAATCTTGTACAGAACGAAGCAATACTACACTCTTATAAATAAAACAATTTAAACACTTAATGGTTTGACTCTTTATTATGCTATTTGGTTCATACAGTTATTTTATCTGAACTATCGTTATAATCGTTATCATCATCTGAGGATGTGCATGCATTATGCACTGCAGTTATCTTGTTGCATGTCTTTATGGAGAACATAGGATGTGTTTCCATGCCCTTCTCCACAGTATTTTGTGTGATCTGAAAAAACAATACACATACATATGTTTGTCTACAAAATACCATCCGGTACATTGTAATTTGTTTTCAATTAAGTCAATGGCACACTGATTATAATTGGACTCCCAGCTGGGGTCTTGGGAATGGTTAAAGAGGCCATTGTGATTGGGGATATCCTCATTTACCAAGGAGATACCACCTTGGGGATCCCTCTTCCTGCTCACACCAGCTTGAAAAAAACTGCGAAAATCTGTGGTGATATCTGTTCATTTCAATGGAATAGCCAGAATTAGTGGATTCGCTCTTGAAGGGATGAAGTTTGCTGAAATTTTCACCTCAAGACCAACTCTTTATTGAATGAAATGATACACAATCTTGAGAACATCCTGAAGATTATGAACATTCTTGGAAAGTACACCGAACGTCTGCCTCCATACTGCAGCCATCTAATGCTGGGACCAGCCTATGCAACATATTTCCTCTACGTCGTGACTGTGGGCCTACTGAGAATATTAGCTTGCAGTCTTGAGGTGATCCTGCAGGAAGCCGCAGACAGGCGTGTGGGACCTGGAATGTCAGCTACTATGGCGACATGGAACACGTCGTAAACATTGTCAAACTAGACAAGAGAAGATAAAATATTTGGACATGGACGTCCTCCTACCAGCCTCTTGTGAGGCGTCCTAAATGTGGACTTGGTTGTATTTCACTGCAACCTTCTTATGTCGGATAGCGTCAATTTTGTAGTCTGATCTAGACAGACTACTACTTACCAGTGCTTTAAAAATTACTACATGTAGATTTATTATGTTTTTGTGAATGTGTGTGTGTGTGTTGAGGGTCTGGGGGGGGTAGGATGGGAAGTGGTGGGGGGCTTGCCAGGGTTGATGCAGGGGATAGAGGTTAGCAGCATGATAGTACTATCAGATGGTGCAAAAGTGCAAAAAGTCAAGTTTTGCATTTAGTAACTTTGAGCGTTTTCTAAGTCAGAAGGCATATGATAAAGAACTTTTATTCTTTAGTTCCTCGAGGGAAGTCATGCCCCCAAATTTCCTTTTACCTGGATTACAAATTCAACCTCTGGTTTCCTGTACATGTAAACACAGTTACTAATGGTTAGAGCAATGTAAGGTATTAGACACAATGTCAGCACCAGGGACTCTCCACACTATGACCTACTAAACAGCCTGCTGCAGAATGAGAGCCAGTATTGGTTGGCATGTTTCTCTCAACATGGAAGATATTGATTTTTAGATGGTAAAGTAAGTTCATTTTATTGGGATTTAAATGGGGTTTGTATTTACTTCATATTGTTGCATACATACTAGGTTTCTTAAAAAAGCTTATAAATAATGCTGTAAATAATATGTGTGCACATGGGTTTGTAGTGTATATGTAAATAATAATACTCAATTTTAGACTTACTATTAATTGATGCCCTAAGACGAGTCCACATTTTGTGATATAGGTATAATTCCTTATTTGTATATGAAAAATAAAAAGAATTCACAATTTGTGAATCCGACATTCAATGTGAGCACCTTTGTGAGCCACAAAGGGCCCCAAAGTTTTCACGAAACAATTAACATTGAATTAAGCACTTAATTTAGACTGTGGAGTTTCTTACTGTCTTAGATTTAAATGAGAGAGAGATCCATTTACACTAGGGGTCACCTCTAGATCAGGGGGACTGTTTCAATCCTATTAAATCCAGAAGGTGCCATTAACCATGACCTCTGTCTTTATAATGTCCAGCTATAGAGCCATTGCCACGATGGATGGCTGCCTTGTGCTCTGCAGTGAGAAGATTTCTCACTTCACAAGGTCATTTTGGAAGGCAGATCTTGAGTTACATTTTTTAAATTTACAGTCACATGCTTGCATAACAGGATGTGTGATCCTGTAGTTCAGTTATACCCCTTTTCGAACAAAATTAGCATATGAGCCCTGTTTTTTCAAACATGGAAAAAACAGCTAGAAATAGGGTCTAGACTCCTTTCCCATTGCCAATAGACCTGAGCTGTGATGGCTCTGCAGCAGACAAGTATGCCTTTCTGTTTATTTATTTACTTTTTATTGGTTTGTCACATTCAACACCATGGACAGGCTGGAAAACAGGTTAGTAAACAGTAGAAAGCAGCATGGAGGCCAGTGAAAATGTTATGGTGGTGACTTGTTTTGAAGAAACCTCTTACCTATTCGGTCTCTCTTTCAAACCTTGTTGATGTCTGAGTACTGCTTGGGTGGAGACGGACAGTAAGCTACTTGGTGGTGCGCCATTGCACCTTACAGGTAAAGGGGCTAGACAGGGACAGTTTGTGAGTGTGACAGGGCTAACTCTTAGAAGCACACAGGTAGTGTTACCTAATAGTTAATAACAGATTAAACAACAGAGTTGAGACTTTTCGGAGTGAGTTTGTCGGGACCATAGACTGTATAGTTTAAAAGCTTTTTTAAAGAAAGTTAGGACAGTTAGCTCCTGTGATATCTTGCAACTGTCTAGCAATGCCTAGTTGTTAACAAAACACAGATGACGTTAGTCAGCGGTCATGAACAGATTTAATATTAGTCAAGCTATTTCGGTGTCAGTTCATCAGGACCATAGACTGCATTGTTTACTGGCTTGGTGTCTTATGTTTTTTAAAGATACTTAGGATAGTCAGCTCGTTTTGCAACAGCCTAGCAATGCCTGTTAGCTGTAACTGTTAGCAAAACACAGCTGTCGTCCAGACTTTTTTTTTGCAGGTTTGTTGGGACCATATACTGTATGGTTTAACAGTTTGATGTCAAATTTTCTTTTTGAAAGAAGCTTTGGACAATCAGCTGATATTTTGCAACAGCCCATCAGTGCAATGGCTCAACCCAACTAGACAATGAGGTTATACTTGAGACCAAAGACAAGACTAGACAATTATTAATTTATATGCACACACAACCAACTGGACAGGGGCATGAATTACTTAAAGGTAGACTGCCCTCAGTATTGTAATGTGTCAAAATGATGGATGGCATTCAGATTTTTCCATCATTGTTAAATAAAAAAGTAAATGATGGAAAACATTGTGACCAATGGCTCTCAGGACATTTTTTTTTTATTATTATTTTGAAAGCTCATCAGTACTCATTTCTTTCCACTGGATATATTTAAAAATGAAAGTAAAGTATTATATCCAAATATTGGGATAAGTCCATCACATCTTATGGGTTAACCTTACTGGACACTGATGTAAGAAGTCATTGATCTCTTGTTGTAGTCAGTGTGTCATTTTTTTAAAAAAAAAAATAGCATCTCTATTTTAATATTCATATTAAAGAAGGACAAATAAGGGTCATGCTGATTGTAGTTTTTGGAAAATATATATATTAAGTATACTCCAAAACCCAAAAAATATCATGTTGTTTACACTTACTGCTAATAGGGTTGCTAGTCGACCTCAGCAATATTTTTTTGGTTTGATACTGGGGTTATGCTATGTGCCCTTTACTGACACCATGCTGTTACCTCAGTTTCTAATCAGAGCTGAATGCATTATAACAGGTCAACGTCAAGGTCAAGACATTTCAATAGTGGCTGTGATTTTATGTTACTATAGCAAATGTACACACCCTACATGGTTTATAGAAACAGGTAAATTTGCATTTTCCTAAAGCATAACTACACAGAACCAACCAGTATAGGTGACAATGTCGAGGTATATCGCACAATTGTCTTATTTTCATGACAACAAGCACAGACTGATGATTGACAGATTTACCTACTAATCATTTTCTGGTGCCTGTGTGTCAATGGTTTGTTTCATGTATAGGCGGGGCTGCGTTGGAAAAATGACATGGAGCCTGCTATCGCGCAACAGAGTGGTTTGCTTATGTGTTTGCGTCAGCATGGAGCCTACTGGTATGAAGCACTGGAGCCAAGGATCGAACCCAGGAGACATGAATGATTTTGGTGTCCATGTTCTCATCACACCAACAGGATAATCTTCTGAAGACATGGTGTGTTCCTTTGAGTTTTGTATTATTCGGGTGCTCAAGAGACCTTCTTTTCACTTCTGTGTGGAAGTGGGGAGAAGACAAAGAGGAGAGCTGGCAGCGTAATCCAAATAAATCAATGTGAATGTGTGCCATATTTTACTTTGATTGCCAGTCTGTAGGAGCTCAAATAACAATCGAGCTCTTTACATGCTGAATTTTGCGCTTCATGATAAACCATAATCTCTTTGGAGTTACAGTACATAATTTCTACTGCACCAGCTCTTGAGATTTGAGGTTTCTGGGAGTCATCAGTCATAGACTGAAGACTCCTTTGTGGTCATTGTTGGTACAATTTTGGGCAAAGTGTTTGAGTATGATGGTCAATTCACCAACAAAGTCATATGAAGGAATGCATTCATTTGTGGGCATCGTTTGGATTACAAATTTCTCATTTCTATTGTGTCTTTTCACACCCCAACTCCAAATCTCCCCCATCTGGCACAGGCATCAAGAAGTGACCGGACCCCAATCTGCAGTGAGCATATTGGCAATTGCCCACCGTGGCGTATTTGATGGCAGTTCAACAGTCTTTTGCAAATGTGCCAAATTCCATTTTGTTTGGAGTACGCTGCCAGTCGAAGAGAGGGAGGAAGCAGGAGCATGAGAGTGAATAGGAGAGGAGTGAATCAATGAGTGTGTGAGAGAGAGAGAGAGGGAGAGAGAAACACAAAAACAAAACAGCATCGCTCTCATTGGCAGAAGTAGGCTACCCAGCCAAGCCTGACACCTCATCTCAAAGCATCAAAGCATGATGGAAAAATACCAGTGTCCACAGTGTGTACGTGTGTGTCTGCTGTGACCAGACAGTGTTTTCACTACAAATGCCCTTACAGCTCACATGGCCCATTGATAGATTATTGGAACATGTCTAGCATTTCTGTTTTAGCCTCTACAAACCAACAACTTGCCTAAGGGGCCAACTGGCCTTCCAGTCCTCTCTTTTCATGGCATCAAAAAACAGTGCTTAAATGCACACAATACAAGCTTGCAGGTAATGAAAAAGGGCCTGTAAAAACCAAGCACAGCCAGAACAGTGAAATAAGGACAAAGAATGCTGTCCAAGAGGTTGTGTTATTCAAGTGTGCCATTTTTTTTCTTTTACAAAGTTTTAAAGAAATGATCATCCATTTGTTGTATAGAGATGAATCCCTATGGTAGGTAGGGTTTTGGACACAGATAGAGCAACTTCCATAGTGCCCTTGTAGAGGTGCCTCTGATTTATATGCACCATGTTTATTGAGATATACCAAGTACATATGAAGCACTGAACACATCTGTGCTTTCCAGTATGCCTGTCAAGAGTTTAATTTGTCTGACAGAGTTGTTCTTCAAGCACAAGTCTGATGGAACACATGCTTCCATCTCAGTGTATATTGACAGAAAAAATGTGACTGAAACATCTCTGCTAGACTTGCTTACTGCTGATGCCGTGAAACTGTATAATCTGTTTTGGACTGTTATCAGCATTGCAGCAGCACTTTAATGGCATTTCTGTAGCATTTAGCAACCATGGCTAGTCAGTCCCTCCTGGATTGTTGCAGCCTGAAAAGCCTGATTTCACAGTAGCTTTTCTAATATATTGCAATTCATGTTGCTGTGTTTATGGCCAGTTTTTTTTTTTTGCAACAAATTTGTGGGAGCAGTGAAAATTGCAAATATGGTTGTGTGGCTGCTAGGGATTCAGAGCATAAAATAATAAGCATTCAATGTTTCCCACAGAATTACAATCTATTTGTGATGGTAGAGGGGTTGGGCGTTGGGGCCCACCGATCAGCTGCTGAGGCTGTTTGATGGGGAGCGTATCTTTGTTTCCAGGGTTCTATGTTCCCCACTTAACCCTACAAAGAAGGTTCTATGTTCCCCACTTACACAAAAAAGGTTCTATGTTTCCCGGGTTCTATGTTGCCTGCTCAGCCAAGCGGGAAACATAGAACCCTTTTTGTGTAAGCAGGGATTATAGAAGCTTTTTTGCAGGGTTAAGTGGGGAACGTAGAACCCGGGAAACAGAGAACCCTGGAAACATAGGGATGACCCTGTTTGACGCAGTGCTGAAGAACCGTATCTGGTTAGCACGAGCTAACATAGCACAACGTGATCTCATCCCTATTCTCAGAGATCGAGCCGTTAATGTCCCACCAACACCGAAATGGCTCTACTTTGTCTGTAAACCTCTAAATAACCGTTGGGTAACGTTAGCTGTGTGATGCTAATAGTTGGCCTTGTGTGTGTGACATTGTCCCAGGCGCAGAGAGAGAGGGGGCTGTGCAAGTCAATACTCTGCATGCAGCTCTACAATTGAATGGGATTTAATCAGTTTTAGAAAGTAAAATTTGCGGTAAAGTTGCAAAGATTTGACAAAATTGCAAGGTCGCACAGAAGTCACAGGGACTGGCTGAATTTCCCTTAATTGTTGTAACACTGTAACATCCTGGAGAGACTGGCTAGTATTGTTATCATTATTGTTTCGATTTTACCATCATGACTGGTCTTATAGTGTCTTATATATTAACAGCAAGGAGGTTATAGGTGTGTTTTAAGATGTTAGGATGCTAGATCTTTAAATACATCTCACTTTAAAAACCTTTCATTATTTTGTCACTTTTTTGGACATTTGCCACAATGCCACAATGCCACAATGCCAGGGCCTGGTGCAGCACGGCCTTACTCAACTTGCTCTTTTTTTGGTTTTCCTTAAGAAAAAGTTGAAGTTAGTAGTAGTACTATTTTCGGTGCCATTTCAATCAAGGTTCCAAGTGAGCTGAGCCAATACTAGAAGACTGAGCTAAAACACTGGGACCACTGATTAGTCAGAGAGAACTGTCACTAGAATCATCACCTGTGTGACATGGAATATTCTGCTCAAACCTGCCATTTTTTTTTACTGTCAATAGCAACCGCACTTTACACTATACTGTACAATTGAAGTGGAAACCTCTGTTTGGTTGCTGATGAAAGGATCCAGCAAGTGACACGTCAAAGATGATGTGACAGCAGTTTCACAACGTGGCTGTGGCAATCAGCTGAGAATCCCACCTACGCTAAGGTGGCACTACCTGCAGTAAGAAACAAAATAGAGTAAAGGACCTGGAATCAAAAGTGATTTGAGTTGACTCATACCATGCATTGGGTTTGACGAACATACAACGTATGTATACATACATATAACATTATACTTTATCTACATGATGATTTCTTCAAGTTGGTTGTGCCACTGTATGCTTAGCGATGTAGGCAGTCCTACTGGGTCCTATTGGACTGCTGGATTCTGTTTTTGGTGACCTAGTGTAAGGCGCCTATTCTTGATCTTCCATTTTAGTCACTTGGTACTATCCTTGAGTCTAGCCTTCCTCTCTATCATCAACTCTCTGTCAATGGAACATTTGAAACCCATTTTTCCCTTGCATCTTACATAGCCCCTACCTGCTGCACCAATTTGATCTCTCTCCCAACTGGTCATGCTTGGGCAGGGGTTCTTGGCATCAGGTATGGATGCATCGAGGCAGCCCTGTATTGACAGTATTAGACAAATCTTGCTTTTTGCTAGGCAACATTTTTGAAGTTATTTTGTTGACAGCATAGCATAGTATGCCAGTATGTCATGTGGCTGAACCTAACAATGTACTTTTGCTGCCTAAATTTATCAAACTATACCTAAGAGTGAAGAAAACTTACATTGAAACTTTATTTTGAAAAAGACTGAATGCGTTTAATAAGTGAAAACTACATATCAAGTTAAACTGAAGATTAATTTAAAAAGAATCTACATGTAAAGAGCTTACATTGACCACTGTCCCTGAGCATCCAAAACTGATGATGGAGCGGCACTAGAGTGTCATAGTTTGACATGTACGGCCACTGCCCAAGTGTTAGTATTTGACAAGTTGGAAGTTAGAATGTGTTGATAAACGTTCATCCTTAGAAGGAACCATATAGATGTATACATCAGTGTTTCTCAGGACAATGGCCTTGATAGTCACGTTGCCCCTGCCCTTCACTTTTCTGGGGTTGAACAGTCTCTAGGTCTGGAATACAAGTGGAATTCTTCCTTCTTGTTTTCTTAGGAGTCTCTATGGCTTTATGTTGTCCCATCTTTCCACACATATGTTGATGGCTTGGATCTAGTTCTTTCTCTTGATGTGGCACTCCAGCACAGTCCAATTCTTTCTCTGTGTCTCCCTTGCTTCAAGGTCTTGTTGTGATTGTGAAATCCTTGAGTATAAAGCTGCCCTGTGTGTCTGTGTGGCCATCTGTTAGTTCGACCCATTCAGTCCCAGTAATCCTCTCTCTTTGCAACCATGCGTCCACAATTGGGCAGATGTGATCCATGCGGAAGAGGCTAATAGTTTTTCCATTCTTGAACCATTTCGCCATGGTCATGTTCTACGGTAAGAACTATTATGACTCTGATATTGAGATTCAGACAAGATCATGTTTTATTGACCTTCTGCAGCGCTGGGAGCTCAAGAAAAATGTGTGTTGCATTGAATTGTCCATGTCAATGCATGCAGTGGCCAGACTGGTGTGCTTGGTCTTACAGTTTTTAGTGATCTCTGTTGAGTGCTTTGAGTCCCTGGCATTGTTTTATATCCCCCTCTGAGCTTCTTCACATATTTACAGATACTGTATATCCATTTGGGGGCCAAACAATTCCATGCTCTTGAGAGACAGCTTCCAGTTTACGTTTTGGATAGTTGGATGATGGTCTTTCCTTTTCATCGTCTCTTTGCATCTATAGTGTCATTTTAGTCTGGCTAGCAGCACTGGAAGCCACTGTTTAGCAGTAGCCTCAGTTATGGACATTTAGTTGTGTAGTTTGAGTGGCAAGGATCTGTTTTTGAGCTAGCTTGCTTAACTCTATGTTGGACTTCCAGTACAATTTGCAGTCTCCTGCTCATTATGCTTGCATTGACATCTCCTGACTGCCACTCATAGCTAGGGCTGGGTATCATTTGAAATTTTCATTTGTACCAATGGAAAACCTCAGTGTTGCAACTAATATCAAAATTTTAAATGTTTATGTGCATGGATGGCACAGTCCTGTGGTTCCATTTATGGTAACACTGGCTTCGGCTTTGTCTCAAGTTCCAATAAAACACAATTTGCTGTGTTCATGGATGCCAGTGACACTGCTTCTGCTGGTCGGTTGGGGGACCTGCACACTGGGGGTCAGAACTTGATGGGGGTGATGTTAAACTTGTATGTTAATCCCTCCCAGCGAAACACACAAGTATTCATAACACAAGTGGTAGCTCGTGAACAAGTGTATAAAAACGCATGTTTAAATATGTTAAGAATTATGCCTATATGAATATATGAAAAAAAAAAAAAAAAAAACCCACAGAATTTCAGCACTTGACAGGTTTTGAAATTCATGTCAATAAAATATGGTAAATATTCAAACTATTGAAATTTTATACCCAGCCCTACCTTTATGTTAACGTATGTTATCATATTTTGTTATATCTTATCATATTGTATCATATTGTATCACTCCTCTTTTGTATGGCTTCTTATGTTATGCTGCATGTTTACTTTTTGCACACGCTTGTTTTATTTGATGTGACCACACTGTACTGCATCATGTGTTAATGCATTGTATTTCAACCTAATTAAATGCAAAAAATCTTCACAAGAGCAAGCATCTTGGTTTTGTTTCCCACAGTGTAGAGCCCTAACATGTGGCACCTGCACACTCTTTGGTTCATATTACTCAATATTAGTCTGATTTGGTTTGCGCCCACAATAGTTTGCTGCCAGAGCACTTGCAGAGTTTTGTGCGCCTACTTTGATGACCCTCACCCTATCTGAGTACCTAATACACAAGCAAGATCATATGTATCCTGATGTATCTCATCTGGAGGTAGTAACAGTGTTTTAGGCTTTAAAGGCTGTTTGATTTTACAGTTTTGCTTATTGCTTTCTCCATTTTATCTTGTGAATTTAATTCTGTGAATTTGTAATGTGTTTGTAATGTGGAGTGGGTATCAGGGGGTATTAGTGTACGGATTAGGGGACTGAGAGTATGGATTTATAGGATTTATGGGAAAAGACATAGGGATCAAGATAGGTGCCAGTCTTCCACTTCCTGTGTCTGTTTTCATTTATCTGTTTTGGCCCATCTTTGTGTTAGTTTCTGCCTCCTCAGCCTGTCTCATCCGTGGTTTGTTTTCCTCTGTCTTGCATTTGTTTTGTTTTGTTTTTTGGTTCTATTCATGGACCTCTCCCTGCATACGTCTATATTGCCCTTTTCTCAACTCCCTGATACAATGGCTGCCCCCTCCCGTTGAATATAATTGGAGGCTGACATTACTGTCAATAAGAGGCTTTGACGCACTAATTTATAACCCAGCAGGTTAGCAAGGTAGTAGTGTCCTGTGAAATTACACAACCTAAGGAATTGGCACCAACCATGTCAGCATAGCTTGTCAGGAGGGGGGCTAAATAACGCCCCAAATATGCTAAATTTAGGCAAGGGAACAACTGGCATGGGCATTTTCAAAGGCATCCCTTAAACTCTCACCTCAAGATAACTGAACGAAAATGAGTTCTATGGGTACGGACTTTATATTTGTCTTTTTAAGGAAAGGGACAACTAGTCTATTTGAAGAACAATTGCCTACCATGTATAGATACATAACACATAGGATTGTTGTGAAACTCAAAATGTTGACTGTGCCAGTATAAGTCTATGGGAAATAAGGCCTATTTTCTAAATGTTTGTTGTGTCTACACTTTACCACTACTACTGCTCTGCTTTCATGGGCTGCTTATAGTGTTTCATTCACATTGTGTGAGCCATAAGATCACATAAAGGATTATGCATCATTCATGCTTTGGTGTTATTGATGTGTTTTCATTTGTGCTTAGAGCCACTATTTTTTATTATTCTTTCCATTATATCACCTTTGAGAGGCTGATAAATTATTGAATATCTTATATTTGTGTGGAATGGACACAGTTGTTGTTGGAGTGATTACATCATGAACAAAATCAGTCACCAACAGCTGCTATCCAAGCAGACATATATTTGAAGAAGCGTGTTGTTGCTTTGAATCAAAAGATGTCAATTCTGTATTTCTGCACTACCCAGACCTTGCCATCTCCTACACTAGGACAGCTCTTGAGCTCTCCTATATCCCGGTTTAAGAAAATAAGCACAATCTACAATAATCTCTCCTCCACTTTGTATCTCATCAGTTATTTCAAGATGAAGATTGATACCAGCCTGACTATGCTCCAGCTCCCAGAGGCCCTGTCCCAGGCAGGCCTTCAGTTTTCTGTGGCCACTGAAGAGGACTTTGATGAGATCATGGCTATGAGCCAGGACATCTATGGGGGCCTTGACTACCTGCCCACTAGGTACACCAGCTGGCTGCAGGAGACCAACCGCACAGTCATATTGGCCCGCAAACAGGGAAAAGTGGTAAGTTTAATATATAGTATAAAAATATTTTTAATTTATGGTTTCAAAAAAAAGGCAGAGTTCCTGTATTCTAGAATCAAAGACAGAAAAGGTATAGTACTCTGATATTTGGTTCCATGCAAAGGTAAGGTATTTCATGACTTTGAGTTTGAAAATCAGGAAATTTACAGCCCAGTCACCAGAAGAAAATGTTGGCATTGCACATTTCTGCAAACCACTAAAATGTTTTATTAAAAGTTTTCATACGCACCATGGGAACATTTCTAAAATAACAGTTCTGAATACATGTATGTGAGCTGACTTTGTCATCAGAATGTGGAGAGGATGGTGGATGTTGTGATACCTAGGGGGGACGACTGCTTAGCTTTAGCTTCAGCTTTAGATCACTGCAGACAACTCTTTGAGACCAACAAAGGATGTTTTTGAACCACCCATTGCTCTGTTTCCAGCGGCTTTTTGCCACCAAAAGCTGTTGGTTTTTACTAAGACATTGCTGCAGTTCCACTGCAGATTGTGGCAAAAAAACAGGTATTTTAAACCAAAACTTGAGCTATTCCAAACTGCAAACAAGAGGTTTTTGTATCTAAACTATATACTGTATAAAACAATGGACATAGCCATCCTGACAATCTGAGAAAACATTTGTACTGTATGTACCCTCTGTACACATAGGCACATTTTCATGTACATAGACCTGTTACTGACAACTTTTCTATTGTTACTCAGCACAGCTCCGTCAAAGGTACCTTTATATAAACCAATCTGATATGAACCCACCACCCACTAAGTAAAGCAGCCCAGGCATCCTTCTCTCTAGCCACATCCTCCAGCTTGTCCTGAGATATCCTCAGGTATTCTCAGAGCAGATGGGATATCTAATCGCTCAAGCTTGTTCTGAGTTTCCCTGGGTTGTCCTCCCAGTTTGACATTACTAGAATACCAGGGAGCATCCCAATTATATACCTTAAGCATCTCAGGTGGCTCCTTTTGACATAATGGAGCAGCAGTTCTACTCTGAGCACCTTTTGGATGTCTGAGCTGCTCACCCAGCCTCCAAGGATGAGCCCAGCCAATCTATAAAAGAGCAATAATTTGCACTGCTTGAATCTGCGATGTGATTCGATTGATCATCATCCAAATATCATGATGAAAGATGAACATTGGAATATCCCAGTGCGCACTGGGGTCTCAATCTCACAGCCCCAGAAGACCCACATCATCTATTTTTTGCTGGTAATGTGGTCCTTCTGGCACGTTGCTTAGTCCACTGCCACCTCGACTGATACATGGATAAATAGCAGAAAGAGGCTTGCACTTTATGCTCTGATTAATATGCCCTTGTTTCCCAAATCTCTACAACAGGTCATGCTCCTCTGCCCCAGCTCTGGGAATGATGTAAAGTTCTACACAGGACATGTCAATGTGATCGTATTTAAGTCCTTTTCCTCCTTTCTCTGTGATGTTCGACAGATTGCTCTAGAATCGGTGTGCGTGATTGACAATGGGGAGACTATGCTGGTGGAAGGTCTGCGTGTCGCCCCTCAAGAAAGGGGCAAGGGTGTAGCAGGAGTTCTACTGCGCTTTTGCTCTGAGCTGGTGAAATCCAAGTACCCAGAGGTCAAAGTAAGCCGTTTGACCCGTGATGATCAGCTTGGACCCAAGGATTTCCAGAAGTATCGCCTTATAACCAAGCAGGTACCAACAACAAAGGCAGCCTTTCTGTGTTTTGGTCTAATTATAGGTCTTTGCCAGTTCATACATTGACTTTCTTCTCTACAGGGTATTCTGCTGGTGCGCTTCAGAGCTGAAGACCTCAAGCTCCGTCTGTCTGAGCTTGGTCTGGGTGCAAATATCCAATCCTCTTTGTCCACCTCCAACTCTTCTCCGGTACGTCTTGACCATACAGCTATCCACCGGCTGTATCTGACCACTGACCTGATGCAGGGGGTCCTTCCTAATGCAACCATCATTCAAGACTGGCAGCCATTCAAGCCTTTGCCCAGTAACATGGCCATCCTACTGAAGAAGGATATTGACTGGATGGTGGATGATGTGTCCAACCCTACTGTGGCCAGCCTCTGTACCTTCCCTTTCAGGGTGCCCATTGGAGATGACTGGTAATTGTCCTTTATTTATTTGTAATTAATTCATAATGCTGGTTCAGTCAGGGACAACTACTGTCCATACGAAAGCGTACAACAATGTAGAAGCATGAACTGCTATCTAACATAGCATTTTTGATAGTACCATTGGGGGGCACCAGAGTTGTAGTATTTATTAGATACTACATATGGTGGCTTCAAGATGCTCATAAGATGTAACAGTACATGTTATTCATTCTCAAAATAAGAAAAAAAATTAACTGTTAAACTTTTGTTTAACTAGGTATTACCTGAACATTGACATGTTTGGTAAAGACCTTGACCTGGCCCGGCAGCAGTTCTTGTGCCACCTGCAGCGCCACACTGCCACCCTGATGGGTCATGTGATGTGCCAGATGTTCCTGGACCCACCACTCTGGAAGCCCATGGCTGAATTCTGCCACCACACCTTGAGCGTGGAGCTGGTGAAGGAGTACACCGAGCAATGCGTGGTGGAGTCAGACATCGTGTAGTTACAGAAGGTGGATGGAAAGGAGTAGAAGATGAAGGAGCCAGAACGGAATGAAGACAAGGGCCTAGACAACAAGGAATGGACACAACTCAATTACACTTAACAGAAAAACATAATCCTTTGTACTGAGGGATAGGAACCAAGCAAACGAAATGTAGTTTCTACAAAACAAATCAACTTTTAAGAGTGCAGTACGTTAGATTCAACACAAACAAATACAGGGGGTGGACATACAATTTTGAATACAGTACATAATGTAATCAGCTTCAGTAGGTCTGTTACAAATATATTTGTAATGATTACAATAATATACAATTAGTGTCAGAGATGTGGTGATACAACTTTACAGTCATCTCTAAGTACCAATCTTAAGGCCATAGCTTAGAGGTGTACTTATATGCCCCCAGTATAAAGAAAGAGGTGAGACTAAATAATGGAAAACTGCTTCCTGGGTCAAAACATTTGGACTGGATCCAAAATGGACCCAGACCCAAAATTCATAAATAAGCAAGAAAATACAGAGTCTTGCAATTCCATTGAAAGAAAGTTTTTGGTCCAAAGCATCATTCTTATTTATGCTGATGTGACTAGACATGAATACAGTCCAAAGCAACAAACTACAACCTATAGCCTCAAAACTGACCGTAGAGTTGAATCACCACCTTGTTAGCTTATCTTGAATTTAACTTTGATTAAAAGTATTACAGTCTTTTTGGTTATTATGTCCACCCTCTGTATGTTGTATGGCATGGAGAGGTGTAGTAGGAGTGACTGAACTTGGAGAGGCTTTCTCACACCGGTAGCAGTGTTGTAACCTAAAACCTAAAAACAGTCAACATGCAAATGCTATTCTTTTACGAAAATTTTTTAAGTACCCTTAGGGCATCAAAAACCTTTTGCCTCTGTTCTTTCTGTAAATATGAACCTTCAAAGTATGTACACAAGCTGAGTTGGGTTACTAAATCTGCACAACTCTGAAGGCACTTTATTAAAACTACATAGACAGGTTGTGTCTAAGTTAGAATGAAAAGGAATAGTTCAGGATCAAATAGGGGTACTTCACAGATCCCATCTATTAACTAGTATTACCATAGGAACATCAAATCTCTGCAGAAACAACCAACAAAGCCTGCTACTGAAATGAACATGCTCAGTCACAAAATGGCTGACAATTTATCCTTTGTTATGGTCAGGCTTATGTCTTAGCATTTTTCTTTTTATTGTTTCAACTCCTTTACTGTATATATATGTTACTAATTTAATATTTTCACTTAAATGCTGCAATAAAATTTTAACAGAAATTATTAACTTCTGAAGCTGAAAGTAAAATCTAGGCTTACTTTTGTAGATTGCTAGCATAATGCCAAACAAAATGCTAATGCTTGAAAATGTTTAACAGACTACTGTGCAGTTTGCTACTGACTTCATCTTATGCAGGGAGGAGTAGAGTGAATATAACTGTGTTAGATTTAACACAACTATACTGATATGTTTTAACCATCACTAATATTAGCCGGTAAACGCCTTTTGAAAAATAGTGTTCCCTGTGAAAATAGAAGACCAATGTTGGTCAGGTTCGGCCATTTTAGAGCAAACAAATCTCTAGTTTACTGTACAGACATGAAGGGAATACAGTGGATTATACCATGGCCAAGGACTGTACCAATTTCCGCACAACAGGCACATGTCCATTAAAATGCTAACTGCATGGCTATTGGGATGTCCGTCAGTATGTTGGCCCACCACTTTTGTCCAACTGAAATGTCTTGACAATAACTGGATGGATTGTCATGAAATGTGATACAAACATTCATGGACCCAAGAAGATGAATCCTAATGACTTTGGTAATCCCCTGGCTTTTCATAATGCCACCAGTAGGTTAACATTTTACTTATGCAGTGAAACATTACATCTATAACACAAATCAGCCCTTAGTTTAATCCAAAATTTGGTTCGGACATCCATGTTCCCCTCAGGATAACTGTAATAACTTAGTTGATCCTCTTAATTTTCATTTAGGGCTATCATCTGGTCAAAATTTCTATTTGTCTACTTCTTTGGTTTATGACCGAATAACTGCAAAATTAATGGCTTTCCCATCAGCCTCAGCTCTATTTTCACTTATTAGCAAATGCTAGTTTAGTGTAACATGCTAAACTACGATGGCAAACACAAGAAACATTAGACCTGCTAAACACAGAGTGTGTCTCAGATTGCATACTTTGATTAGTACACTTCAATTACATTCATTTAAATTCAATTCAATTCAGTTCAGTTATATTTATAAAGCTCAATATCAAAAATCACAATTTGCCTTAGAGGGCATTACAGCATACGACATCCCTCTGTCCTTTGACCCGTACAGTTGATAAGGAAAAATCCCCCCCAAAACACCCTTTAATGGGGAAAAACAATGGTAGAAATCTCAGGAAGAGCAACTGAGGAGGGCTCCCTCTTCCAGGACGGACAGACGTGCAATAAATGTCGTACAGAACAGATCAACAAAATGAATTTACAGTAATCCATATAACAAAATTTTACAAAAAGAGAGACAGACAGAGAGACCAAGAGAGACAGAGAGAGATGCAGGGCAAACAGTAATGATAATAGCTACCATAACATCAATTTTTAGTAATAATATGATAATAACAATAATAGTATTTTGGTAGCATATATGTTTTAAGTAAGTATTACTGTTACAGTATATGTATGTGACAATAATAATTAAACACGTACAATAATAGTAGAAGTATGACTAATAATAATAGCAGTAGTAGTCGGCATCAGGCAAGACCAAAACAGCAGTGTAACCACAACCCACGATTCAGGCGTATTCAGTTCACTGTAGTACACTATGTGCACTATGTCATTCTTGCATGGTGCGTGGTGCACTAGTTTCAACAGGGCAGTGTTGTCTCAAATCGGGCACTGCTGTTTTGCACTTACCGGAAGTGACGACCGCTTGTTTTAAATTGCCTCCTCTTTTTCTTCGTCTTCTTTTTAAAAGGCAATTGCAAATGGACAGTGGAGCGTTATTGCCTACATTTGACCACCATCTCCATCTACACATACACCAAGCTTATGCCACAACATCAGTGCTGATTAAGAGTTGCTACCGTAGCTAGGAGCAAGTTAGCTAGCTGGCGAATGCATTCGCATTATTGTTTGCGGTCAAATCATTACAGACCCAACAAACATTACCAACATTCTATTCCACAACAGTATTGGTACTAAGTGCAATAAAACATGTATAACTAAAAGGATCCTTGTTGTCCCCAGCTGTCACATCAAAAGTTGGGAAGTTTGTGATGTAGCTTACACCAGTAGTACACTGCAATTTCCAGTACTACGCAATGTGAACGCACTTAGTGCGCTGAAAATATTAAGTGTTTAGTACAGAAGTGTGTGATTTGAGACACACCGATAGTCATGTTAGCTGCCGTTTAAGCATTGCTGTGCCTAAAGGTCTAGCATGTAGGATTTAGGGGAATATATTATCAGAAATGGAATATAATATTCATAGTTATTTTTTTATTAGTGTAAAATGTCATGGAACTAACAATCATTGTGTTTTCATTACCTTTGAATAAGCAGTTTACATATGGAGTGGGATCTCTCCCACAGAGTCCACCATGTTATTTCTACAGTAGCCCAGAATGGACAAACCATACACCGGCTTTAGTTATGGCCATTTGCAGTTTTGCATTGGCAACCATAGTTCTCCAACACGTTTGGCATATAGGAGAAGTTTCTGTTGGCTGCAGTCTGCAACCTCACCACTAGATGCCACTAAATCCTATAGACTAGACCTTAAAGTACTGCCTCACAAAGCCAGAGCTTTTCTGTAGACTTCTGTGATAACTGGCCATGGTATAAGCACAATACCAAACACTGATGTCTCGCCATATAGAAAATAATGAAGTTAGTGGAAGAAACGCCCGTCTGCTTCACATTCTTTGGCCTCCACCTACATCTAGTCCACTATCACCCACATATTTGACCTCTATTAGAGCCATCATAGCACAACAGAAAAAAAAGTTTTACATTTTTAAATGTTTTCTCACGTGATTAATTGATATGATATCATATAAGTATCCATAGCACACTCTTTACACTCTATAAATCTCCCTTTAAATGCCCATTAAGAGGGTTTGACACAGGACCATTAATCTGAGCCAGACAGAAATATCTTGTTAGAAAAACATCTCAGTTTGTAAAGTACTATTTTACCCTCCCGTTGCCTTGACCACCCTTTATCTTGACTTTCACCCCCTTCTTCTTCTGGTATGCAATTTTGTAGTTGTGAAGATGACTGGGCTTTTTTTTCTGAAGAAAGTTAAATGATGAGTCAAATCCTTAAAAGCTTTTACAAAAGGGACATAAATAAGTAAACAGACATCCTTTTTTAAATTATTAATAGTTTAGGGAGGACCTGTCAGAGTGGCCATAATCCTTAACATATTCCAGGGAGCATAACAAAATAGGAGGACAACTACATTTTTATGCTATTTTTTGTAACCAAAGAAAGTCACCACTCATCTAAACTGATGCCCTATCATTTGCTGCCAGGAGTGAAGTGAGGATGTAAAAGATTGGAAGGCCATGGGTGTAATTATTTTTTACCATTTGTTTTTCGTGATCACAGAATATTTTTGTAATCTATTTATGAAAATCCGTTTTTATCGTGATAGAAGAACCTTTTTTTTTTGTAATTTAAGCATAACATAACCCAAACTGTGCTTTCATGATCCAGACTCAAACTGTGCATTTATTGTAGTATTCCTATACTGGACTACAACATGACCCCAGTTTTGGTGTGTGGCAGTTTGATTAAGCACAATTTTATTCATGAGCTCCACAATATCAGCAGAAACAATGAACTACTCATGTTATCATGTCAGCTGATGTTCTGCTTTGGAAGCTTCTTTTCTGGTGTTCCCAAAAAAAAAGTTGCAAATTATTACAAACTTCTTGCCACACGGGAATCGGGAGGCTTTTTTGGAGTCCATCAGGTCTGGGGCCTAAGGCAGTGCTTTAGTCTACAGCCTGAAGTCCTAAGCTGCATTACCCCTCTTAGTACCCTTAGAACCTGTACATAAGCCATATGGACATGTACCTGAACCATGGATCATTTTTGCATTTCCACAGCAGACAGTACTCTTTTATATGGGCAGGGTTGTTACGAAATGGTAGACTACTAGCTGCCTCACTGCTCCAACGAGCTCTTGTTGATGCAGATATTTTCAGAACAAAAAAGAACTTGCTGAAATGTTTAAGTCTCTGTCACAGTCTATGGGATATTTTAAAAATGGCAGATTTGTGTACTGAGTCCTTGTAATGCAAGAGCAGAAGTTTTCTCTTGACCAATCAATGGACTGCAGTGTTTCTAGCACCTTTTCGTATTGTATCAGGTACCTCAGCTGAGGGGTAATGAAAAAACAGGATGAAATGGAGTGGTTCTATTGGTACCATCCACAACTTTTGACAACGGAAATGTAAAAATAACCATTCTAATGTGTACTGAACTGAACTGAACTGAATTGGACTGCTTCATGGAAGCAAGGCTTTAGATCATAGATCATTTCTGTCTATCCATCCTGGTTGCAGTGGCAGCAGGCCAAGCAAGGTAGCCCATACATACCTGTCATTAGCCATGCCCCGCAGCTAGTCCTGTGAGATCGGAAAGGCATTGCCAAGTTTGATGGCATATGCATTCCCATCAGCATGTTCTTTGTCTGCCCTGGAGTCTCCTCTCAGTTGGATATGCCCAGAAAACCTCCAAAGAAATGTGTCTGGGGGCATCCTGATCAGATGCCTGAACCATCTTAACTGGCTCCTTTAGTAGTGAAGGTGCAGAGGTCCTACTCTGAGTTCCTTCCACATTTTCTGAATTTGTCACCCTTTCTTTAAGGGTGAAAAAAAGTTGTCTAGGCTGCTTGCATCACTGCGATCGTTGAGGGTTCGGAAATAGACCAACTGGTAAATTATAAGCTTGACCATGACAGTCCAGTATAGTGTCTACATTACATTGATGCTGCATCGATTTGTCTGTTGATAACCAAGACACCAAGATACTTGAATTCTTTGACCCCGGGCAGTTACTCTTTCTCAACCCAAAGGGACCAATGATCATCATGACAGTAGACAAAAGCCTGTCGATCCTGCTTCTTCCACCCCAAGATGCATGCTCTCAGGTTTCTTGTTGGCAGCTTCTCACTCCTAACTTGGACAACAATCTTTTTGCGGTATTTTGCAGTAATGCACCATGACCTCAGACTCAGAGATGCTAATCATTGTTGAATTGCCACATAAGAGTTTCCCTATTTTTGTCTAAATGATCATGAGAAGTCAGTTTGGTATCAGTTTTGATACTTTTGTAATCACGATAAAACAATGCTTGCTCATTTTAATAGTTTTCTTGTGATTTCAAGAAAACAACAACAACTACAACAACAAAAAACCCAACAACAATCATTTTAACCCATGTGCTTTACTGCCTTCTGTTTGAAGATGTCTAGAAGATAAAGATTTTTTAAAAGCCTTTATCCAGTGTTGAAGAAATGTACATATGTAGCCCTTCTCCATCCCCAGACACAAACACACAACCAGTTAATACAGTAAACTCTAACCAGCTGAGTAATCTTTGAAACATACTCTGTACGAGCAAGTTTCCTCACAATCAAATACACCCTCTGTTAAGTTTCCCATAACCCTAACCCTATAACAGCAAGTCAGGATATCCTTCAGCAGATTATGATAAATATACTCATTAACTTATTTTTTGTTGTCTTGTCATTACAATATGTAACACATGTAAATACTGTACGTTGTGCTGCAAAGCCACTGGAGCTTGTGAGATGCCAGAATGAAGACCTAATGTTAACACTTGAATGGCCAAAAAGCTTATGACAGCCTCATTTAGAGGAAACAAAGAGTGGCCAGTCGTGAATTTATCTCTGAAAAACCTGTCGTTCCTGATCACCTCACTTTAAAAAGAATAAAACTTTCTATTTTCAATGTTCACTCAATGCGCCCTGCTGCCACTTCACTTTTAGCACCATTTCAGCATGCTCTGCTTTCTTGAGTCCTGATATTACAAGCTTCAAAGCAAGCAAACGACATTAGAGATTTCCTGTTTATTCATGAGTCTTGTATATGGTTCAGGACTTAAGATTCCTGGTCACTTTTTTATAATTTATTAAGGGAGACACATTCTTTTATCTGCCTTTTTTCCTATTTACAAATCAACAATCCCTTGTAAAACTTCCATTTATCTATAGGCCTCAGTTTGCTTTAAAGGAAATAGTTGTATGAGAAGAGCAATTATACCTGTTACCAATGGCCACATTTGAAAATGGGGCAAAAAGCTTGCCACTGTAGTACCTCTTTTCAGTGATTCTGTGTCTGTTTTGTGTCTTCAAAGACTGGATGTGAATTGTATAATTAATTGTGATTAT